TTATTTGGCATTGTTGGCAGGCTTGACTCAAGGGAATTCAGGACGGAAATACCAAATATTTTGCAAGTTTGAAGGTCACGTGTGCTAGAGGTGGAGCTGTCATCAGACCAGGATTGCTGATTTCGCTGTGTCAGTGTCAAGCGCTAATGCTGTGTGTTAAATGGGATATAGATTTCCAGCAGAAGCAGTCGGTGAGGGATTTGTGTTGTGTAACAGTGTGATAGACTTTTGGTAGGAATCAAAGTGTCACGTTGGTTACCTTGGCAGAGATTTCCGCAGAACTTTTGGGGTGCCGGTATCATGCTTGGGGAGTTTGGGGGGCGGTGCGTTCCTGCAGTTCCCTTCCTTTTCTTCCTTTAGGTGTTTTGAGGTTCATCCGGTTGCTCTTGCTGTTTTCCTTACTTCTTGAAACAGATGCTGACACATCCACAGAATTCTCAGTGTTGTGCTACAGGTGGGGTGCGTTCCTTTCGTATTTGCAGACCCGAAGGATCCCGCTGCTGGTTGTGCATTGCTGACAACGCAGCCGGCCTCGGGAGAGACGCCGCGTGACGGCTGCAAGGCGTGGAGGCTGCGAGCTCTGCGTGGTGTGTCCAGGCCCTTAAGAGTGAACGTTGCAGTAGCACACTTAATTACCAGAGCAGATCTTTGACGTCGTGCCAGGATCTTCAGAGACTGAGGACTTGATGGTTGAAAAGATGTGAACAGGGAGACTTTTGAGGATTGCCATGTGTTGCCTGGTTGCGGTCCTCATAGTATTTTTTCCCCCCACTGTCTTTTGCTGTTATTTCTGTTTATTACCCATTCCTTTCTTGTGAAAAACGGGAAAAGCTCTAGTGCAGTTAGGCTGGAAAGGATGACATTCAGCTTTCCTTTTGGATGTTGTGTGGTAGAGGGAGGGTCCTGAAAAACTTGACTTTTGCATGCCGTGGTGAAGCGTTACCTTCTATACTGGAAGAGCTGGTGACAGTGTTTTCAGGCAGTAGCTTGACAAGTATTTCTTCTTTTGGCAGTAATATCAGTAAACAGTTCCCATCCCCTTCCCAGCTGCTCATTTTAGTCCTGTCTCCTCTCTTGTGTTGGCATAGTTTTTTGTGCAGCTGCATGGCAAATCAGATCAGGGAACTGATTCAGTTAAAAATGATTAATTGTGGTTTTTGAATTCTTTGTGGGTCTTTAAAAATATACCAGGCAGCAATAAAAAGAAGCATATTTTGCTTTTATTGTTATTACTATAAAAGTAAGCGGAAGTCTAGTGTTCCTTCACTAATTGGAGGACTACAGAGTATAAATCATGACATTTTTTTTAAGTTTATAATCTCTTGGCACTGAAAAAAATCTTGGAAAATGCATCCTCCCACATCTGTTTCTTGTGATCAAAGTCCATGTCTCAGCATCTGTGAAGTAGTTATCCTTCAGGAATATTCTTCAGCTGGAGCTCGTGTTAAGCAAAAAACCAGATGCTGTGAAATTTGTCCTGCTGGCGGGGAAGAAAACCTCAGAAGTTGCGAGAGTTTGCCGTAGGGCAGCCTTCGTATTCCCACCAGGACCACGTCTGCTCCCAGAACAGGCCACTTAGGTGCAAGAGGAGGGGGTTTGCATTTGACGTGCCTCTGTGTACGAGCGTGCTGGCTGGGGGACAGCAGGAAGAGCGCGGGAGCTGCGAGTAAGTAGTGCTAAGTGTTGTGGTAGCTATGCTGCTCTTTGAGGTGTGGAGGGTGTGGGTTTGGAAACTTCTCGGTGAAGCCTGGTAAACGTTAAGCCTCCCTGTTGACAGGGGAAGAGTTGGTCAGGGTAGCATGGGACATTTTCTGTCATGGCAGGCAAAGCTGATGGTGATTTCCTCTGAGGGTCCAGGAAGACTTCAATATATCCTCTGGCACGTGCTTTGGAGTCTTGTGTAGAGGACAGAAGTGTCACTTGTGTCTGCATAACCAGCACCATAAGGGCAGGAGAGCTGTTGATGTGTCCCTGCAGGCTGGAGGAGCTGGAGCCCCGCAGAGCTGCACCGCTGCACTACGTGTACCCTGTTCCTTACCTGGCGCTTCACAGAATCACAGAATCACAGAATGGTAGGGGTTGGAAGGGACCTCTGTGGGTCATCTAGTCCAACCCTCCTGCCGAAGCAGGGTCACCTACAGCAAACTGCACAGGACCTTGTCCAGGCGGGGCTTGAATATCTCCAGAGAAGGAGACTCCACAACCTCCCTGGGCAGCCTGTTCCACGGCACCCTCAGAGGGAAGAAGTTCTTCCTCATGTTCAGCTGGAGCTTCCTCTGCTTCCGTTTGTGCCCATTGCCCCTTGTCCTGTCACTGGGCACCACTGCTTGTCACGGGGAATCTTTTTCTTGGCTCTGCGTGACAGCATGTGCAAAGTGAGGTGCTTGGTTTTGCAGCGTTTACGCTGTAGGGTCAGTTTACAAGCTAGCAGTTGACTGGCTTCTAAACAATTAGTGATTTTAAGTTTCCTACGTACTTTTGCGTCCAGGTATCTATATCTGTTTGTTCCCTTGCTGAGATATTTTAGAAGAGAGTGGTTTTTACTAGTGAATCAAATAGGTGTGTCCTCTCAAAGCACCTTGCATGTATTTTGTGGATGCAATTATGTTTTTTTAAACAACTTCTCCAAAAGTAAATTACTTAATTTGACTTGTTTCTCATTTTAAAAGGAGAGTAGTGGAGGGAGGGAGGAAGGGAGTGTAGGAAGAGGTAAGTTTGGAGGTCTGGGTTTGGGGTTTTGGTGCGTATGAAATGTTAAACAAAGCTTACATGTATGACAGTACCTGTCTTGAGGCTTGCTTCGCTAGTTGTGCCCACCCGTATCAAAGCACTCCAGTGTCTCAGCCCAGCTTGCATCCTCTCGAGTCCGTGGGCATTGCTGAGAGCGGGAAGAGCCCACCTGCAGCGTTGGTCACTGCGCTTTGGGGCCTTTTATGGTTCTGCAGACTGGGGTGTGAAACACAACCGCAGTTTTTCTTGGCTTCCATGCCTTGTTGTTGACCTACCGCCACTTCTTGCTGTTCACTGTTAGCTCGTGGGGGACTTGCAGAAAGGGGCATCTCTGAAATTCCTGCAATATTTTAGAGGGGAGACAGGTTTCAGGTGGGGGTGACACCAGGCAGCGCTGTTAAATAACGTGCCCAGTCTGCTTTGTAGGCAGTGGTGCTGTTTGTCATTGGAGGGGCTGGGTTTACACGCACAACTGATGGCTGCTGTCACTTGATGAGATGGATTAACTTGACTGACAAGTTTTGATGGGAGGATTCACACCGCTGGGGATGGAGATGTACAAGGCGATGCTTGTAGGAAGAAGTTTTTGCTGGCAGAACTTTGTAGGAAACACCAGGCTGCAGCTGTGCGCACCGAACGCTGCGCTATGCGGTTCTTTGGCGATCGTTCAGGACTTATGGTTCACATGTCCTGGAAATGTGCATATAGCCGTTGTTTTGGTTGATTTTTTTTTTTTTTTTTTTTTTTTAAATTGAGTGTTAAACTGTTTAAACTTGCGGGCACTCATTTATTTTCAAGAACCAGCAATTTTGTGTTAGTGTCATAAAAATACTGATGCACTTAGAAGAAAATTTAACTATTACGTCCTTTCTGGGCAAGCTTTTTTAAGAAGGTTTGTGCTGTAGGAACATGGTGTATTTGCTGCCTCTAAGTAGTTAGTCTAGTTTGTGAAGATAATCTGTGGCCAAAATTGCAGATTTCCATTCCTCCTCTTTGGTCTGCTTTTACATCTGTAACAAAAGGATTTTTAGGGGCGCTGCTGGCTGCCAGGCTGGCATTTGCTGTGTGGAAGCCGTTCTGCTGAGCCAGCCTGAGCCGTGTTGCAACTTTTAACTGCAAAACTGAGTAGTGAAGCTGATAATCAGAGAAGATGCTTAATTGCATACATGAGATTGGGTTGGTCCTGTGGTAGTCTTGCTGTCAGCAAACCTTGTAATTTTGGAACAGCTGCTGTCGGGGAACACCGTCACATCAATAGTGAGTGACCGTTATGTTCTGCTTTAGTCTTCCAAATAGTCTCTAAAATACTCGATCCCAAAGGGATTTAGTGGCTTCTTTTACCAAAGTAAAATTCTGTGGAAGTACTGGTTATGATATTGCCATGATTATGAAGTGCATTCTGCTGGGTTTAATGCATAACATAAAAATCTAAGAGCACCTATCTTTGAATGTACTTAAAATATTAAAGTGCCAGGTTAAAATTAAATCCTAAGGCAGCAAATGCCATGTATAAAGTATTTAGTTTGCTGTTTATAACCGATTTTAATAGAACTGTAATATTCACATGTGATTAAAATAACATGGCTCTAGTAAAAACTTGAAAGGAAAGCACAATTAAACAACATTAGGCCTTATCAGTGAATGTATAGAATGATATGCTGCAAGTATTAATTAGGAATACATTCTTTTGATAGAGCAGTCTGATTTTTGTTGCCTCCTTGCATGTTTTTTATTGATCCTTCCATGCGATTTATTTTTCTTAACATTTGCTGTGACGTTTTGACTTCCTGAAAAATCTAGTAGAAAAAAATATTTCAAGAAGTGTGTTGAATGAGGAGATGGCTTTCCTGTAGAGTCCTACTGAGATTACGTTTTTTTTTCCTGTGAGGTCCACGTGAAGTATTTAATGGCATGCAAACGTTAGAAGACCTTGAGCAAACTCTAAACTAGGGCTATGACTTAAACCTGGAGTGACTAAGCAGGCTGGACAGCAGCAGTTTCTTTTTCATCATTTACAACATTACACTTCAAGAGTTGTTTCTGTTTCTGGGACTTTTAAATACTTGTCGCATCTGTTAGTCCGGTGCTGAAAAATGTATGGTAACACTTTACAAGATAGCAAAAATTAGTGCTAATCTGTAGAAGACACCACCTCTCAATATTTCTTATGTGGAGTCTCCTTGTTTTGGCTGAGAAAGTGTTTGTTGACTGGAATCTGAACTTAATAGGATATTACACTCAATCAATCTTGGTTTTCTTTACAGAAAAAGCTACAAATGAATATAACACCAGTGAGGACTGGGGTCTTATTATGGATATATGTGACAAAGTTGGAAGCACTCCTAATGGGTAAGCTGCATCTCAGCATTGCAACGTGTAATTTCATGTCCATGTGAAGAAGAACACTGTTTCGGAGAGACCGCGTCTCAAAATGCTCATTGTAGTCAGCTATGCAAAAAGTGCCACCAATCTGACACTTCTGCAAGCTCTACAAATACATGTTGTTGGCTTTAAAATTCTTTGAAAGAAATGTTCCAGCAGGATTTCTAGTAGAGCAATTTGTATATGCTGAGTGCATTCCAATTTTTATGGGGTTTTGTACAGTAGGCCATGTTATTCATATTTAATGATCTTGCATAAATTTCGAGAAGCAACCGTGCCAGTAGGAAAAAGTGAACTAGTTTTTTTGCAGAAAATTGTTTAGCTATGACAGTTAGCTATTTATGGTGAGAAATTTGGCTGTGTTCATTCACTAGGGAAAATGGGACTGGTGGAGGAGAAAAGGGGAAAAAATATCAATCGAAACACAGATAAGTTTGAATCAATTTAGCCGAACTGGTAATACTGAAACAGAAGTGGTAGTTCGGTGATCCTATAATGGTCTTGAAAAAGGAATCCAAGAGCTGACAGCCTGTGAACATGATTTTTAAACCTGTAGAGACCCTTCTACAGTAGCCAGTAAAATGACCATTTATTTAATCAGCACTGCTCCTCGTTCCTTTTTTTTTAGGTAGATATTTCTTTCATTGTCTATTTCAAATCCATTTCCTCAATGTAATGGCAATTGCTCCCTTTATGACCTGTCAACAGTTTTATGGAAATTGATAGAAAATGCCAGTATAAAAGTGGAGTCTGTTCCAATCCAGTACACATAACAAACAAATTGTTAAATATTTTTTCCAGACTAGCTCTGGGAGAAGTTTAGGTTCGGTGACAGTTTTTTCAATAGACCCGGTTTTGTTTGCTTACCCAACTTGAGTATCTGGTATCGTTCATTCCGCAGATTGTGTCACATTTGTCACTAATAGTTTCTTTGTTCCTTCTCCAGAGCAAAGGACTGCCTTAAAGCCATCATGAAGAGAGTAAATCATAAAGTTCCCCATGTGGCTTTGCAAGCACTTACAGTGAGTAGACTATCACTATTTTCAAAAAACTTTGTGCTCTTTTATGTAATGCAGCTATTAAATGTTTACTGATCAGTTAATACCTTTATGTAATTTCAGTAGAAGTCAGTGAGAGTGTGCATGCTGAACAGAGGATTGAGTGTAACTCTCTTCATGTATGCTTTTATTTTGGATTATTTTCATTGTCATACGTTTTCACCATTGTATTTCTGTTGTCAGCTTTTAGGAGCCTGTGTATCAAACTGTGGAAAAATATTTCACTTAGAAGTGTGTTCTCGTGATTTTGCGACTGAAGCTCGAGGTATAATAAATAAGGTAATTTTTTATGACCTTAAGTACTAGGGGGAGAATTATTTTGTTAACTTCTGTGCTTTGTCTCAGCATAGCAAAGAATTGGCAAAACTGGTGTTGTAGTTAATACGCATTTTCTAGTTTTGGTGCAATTGCAGATACTGCTGGCTGTTTGTCTTATCACCAAAATTCCTATACTTTAATTTTTCCAATGAAAATGTAACGTATTAAAGAAGTGACAGGCTGGTAATACCTGCTTCAGATTTTTACAAAATTACATGAGCAACGTCATTAAAATCTGTAACTCTTCCTCAGCTCAATTAATTTGATAATAGCTTTTCTTGAAGAAAGGTTTTATTTGGCTTGAATGAAATTCATGGGCTGAAATGCAAAGGGAAAACTGTGAGAAAGTTCAGCTACGCTTTTACAAGGAAAAGGATAAAGTCTTCAGGCAACTTAGTTTCCAGAGGTTCTCAGAATGCTGAATGAGGAGGTAACCAAGAAAGGAAGACCTAGATGGTTAGGGTCAGGCAGCTGATGGGATCTAAATCTGGATGTAATCAAATGGATAAGCAGAAACAGCTTTCCCCAATCACTGCTCCAGTTGAAGACAAAAATGGCTAATGGGTTAAAAGGAAGTTAGTCTTCAAATATATGGGAGGCCTGGAATCATCAGAGGTGGAGCAAAGCAATTAAGGAAACTAATAAAATTGCTGGGAAGCAAAATGAGTTCACAGCTCTTCTGTTTCTCGCTTTGTGTGGAAAAATAGGTCTTAAAGTCCTCCCCTTTGTTCTCATTAGCCGTGGTCCATTCTGAAATAGAACGTTGACCTTCATGGTCCGACAGCACTTGTGGACATAAAAACAAACCTTTAATCCCACTGGAGAATGGTCTACTGGAGCGTAATTGATTTTGTTGTTGGGGAATACTTATGTTTTACCCCCATGCCTGGCCCACTTGGAGGACTAATCTTCAGAGGGCAGATGAAATTGTACTTTCTCCCTTTTCTCTGACAGAAAGTCAGCTCAGACAAGTGTAACGTCTTTGTGCTGATACTGAGCCTATCAAGCGACATCTTTTTGTTCAATTAAATGCATGCTTGAGCCCAGACTTGTCAGCGTTCTTACTGTTGAGCGTATGTTTGCACGTGAGGCACCGACTTACAGTGTGATCTGAACAACACTCCCGTGAGGAATCTTGGCCATGCACTGCGTTTGTGCAGTCCTAGGCTTTTCTCCAGGCAAGTGAAGCAGATGTAGGTGAGCCCAGCAGCCCCAGAACCCTTATTCACCAGCAAATATCCTGAGGTTAGTTTGGGTCCTTTGGGTTCAAACTATAGTCTTTCCATCAACGGTGAACGAGAAAGCGTGTGGAGTCTGAAGTGCTTTGGTCCATGTTCTGCCCTCGTGGTGTTGGCATGACCTTCACATACATTAGCTGCTCTATTGAAGAGTTGCTGGTTTTGCTCCAGTAATTTTTTTAAGGCTATTATGTGACTACAGGATTAACAGCAGCTGATGTTTAATGTTACTGAGGTGTACTCTGAAGGGTATTCTTTAGCCATACAGTAGCGAAATACCTGACTCTGACCTGCTTTTCTGAAGGTGGATTGTCACTTTGGGTGAGGTTGTTGACACATAAAATTTGCAGTGTTGAATGACATCAGCAGTCCTATGTGGATTTAGAGCGGCCGTAAATCCTGTGGGTGGGTGTGGAGGAAGGGGAGCTATAGAGGCTCTTCAGTGCAAGAGGCTAGAGAACAATGTGGGAGCCAGAGGAACTGCAGGCAGAGCGTGAACTTGATCTTGGTTTGCCCCCACTGCAAGCAAGTATCTTCCTTTACCACACTGTGTCACTGCACCTTGGTTCCTAATTCAGGACCTAATAAACTGTCCTATGAGTTGGGTGGCACTGTGTATAATGCACAATGCGTAATTCCTTTTTGTGAGAGGATCTGTATCAAGGAGACATGTATATGTATGTGTACACTGAGGTGGTACAAAGATCAGGTTTTTGTGAGATCCTGTCGCCTGAGGAGTCAACAGAGAGGAATGTCTTCTGGCATCTGGGGAGAAGACTCGAGGGATCATAAAAGGTAGGGAAGGGCTGTTGTCTGGTAGGGAGAGACAGTATCTTATATTAGACCTACTTACGTGGTTGGGAGGGGAAGAATAACACCAAATAGAAATGAAGAGAAAACTGAGGTAAAATGGAGGGTAACTAGAGGTGCAGAAAAGTTGGAGTAAGTGTGGAAAATAGCCTGAACCTTTCCAAAAACTGTGGAGGTGGAAACATGGCTAACATTTGAAAAGTAAAAAAGTTTGTCATTCTTTTTCCTTAACTGTTCCTGAACCACCTAAAACGGACTCCACTAAAATAATAGCACTATAGGTAGGCGAGCTGCCTGCAAGTTCTGAGCTTTGGCTGTGTGAAGAGAATTTGCCTCAGAGGATTGCTGGAAGGGTTGAAGGAGCCCTGACTTAAAATAACCAGTTGCTTGGTAGAATCCGGGAAGTCTGAACTAGCTGCAGGCTCTTGCTGCGTTGGGATATGTGGTGCTGGAAACGGCTATGCCAGCTTTCCAGTGGAAGGATGGTGCTCCAGAAGCTAAGCATGTTCTCTGCAATATCACAATCAGTGTATAAAAGACCATATATCCTAGGCTCTGTTTTCCAAATTTTCTAAATCAAGACAATTATTAATTATTACCAATATTTGTAGTAAAATGGTTTTGGTAACAAAGTCTTACTGAGAAGGAACAACTGTTTCTGTTCGCTTTGAGGTGCAATCATCTCGTTTCTATGCAATTTTGTCTTCTAGGCTCATCCAAAAGTATGTGACAAGCTAAAAACTCTAATGGTGGAGTGGTCAGAAGAGTTTCAGAAAGATCCTCAGTGTAGCTTAATATCTGCAACTATTAAATCTTTAAAAGAAGAAGGTGTGACTTTTCCTGCAGCTGGATCGCAGGTAAAAGCTGATGTGGGATACGCGGTACTATGAGGCTCCCTGTTCCTGGCAGCGGACAAAGTGAAAAGCTGTTCAAATGAGGCCTTTTGTGCTTCTGCTCAGAGGAGAGTAGATCCTTGTGCTAGTTTGCTTGCCTCCTTGTGCTGAGGCTCACTTCTACTCATTCTGCTTTTTTATGTCCTGGCCTTCCTAAGAAAAATAAGAACAGACTAAAGGCTATTTCGTGAGGCGGTTTTGAGTTGTTTCATTTTAGATCCTTCCTTTCTTCTGATCATTTTTGAAGCTTCATTGAGCTGTCACCACCTTAAATCGAAGCAGTTTTACACCCACACTTTGTACTTGGTGTTTCATGGTGCTAATTGCTGACTTGGAGCACATACCTTTATTTTTCTTCACAGAGCCTCACAAAACAAAGGGCAGTATCTGGAATGGAGACATTTTTGAAGATGATCTGTGCTATGCTTTCCTTTCCTGAGTCCCCATTTCTGGTTCATGCATTTACCTGTCCATGTCAGGAATTGTCCTGGCTCTGCAGTAGGTGGGGTGCTCCAATCCCTAACCTCACCCTTTGTATTTTACTCCTGGTGGTGTATTAAGCCTAATCTTGTAGCTGGCAGATACAATGACAGGTGGTTTCTTTCTATGCTTTATTATTAACAATTCTAAATACTTTCATGTTAATTAGGAGTCGGGTGAAGATCAGTCCTGAAAATTAGAACTACAGCCTCTATTACGTATTCCTTACATGAAGTTTACTTTTCTCTGTATTAACACAGAGGGATTTTTTGCTTTTACAATCTTTCCTTCCTCCACAAAGATGTTTTCACTTCTAAATCTAGGATATGTGTTAAAACATATGGCAGCAACGTGGAAGATCTAGAGTACTGGCAACCAATTATGCTTCCTTTCCTACAAATACATATAAAATGACATCTTGATGTTTTTACCTCATACGCTTCACTTTGAACAAGCAGAGCGGAGGTTTATTAGCATTTGGTGCACTTGCACAGAATTGTTTTCTAGGACCATTGATAAGTCCTAGACACGGCTAGTGCCTGAAACTAGGTTTGTGCTGGAAGACTTCCTTGTCAGAATGAAAACTCTGAAGAATGATTTCTCTCTGCTGTTGTGGAGAAGCGTATTATTGAAGTCAGCAGCTCCCAGCTCGATGTACATTTGTTTTTCCTTCCCGTTGTCCCACCAGCAGAGATAGAAGGTGGCTTTTTGCTCTGATACGGAGAGAGGTCTCCTGTTTCAGCAGGTCCAGCTGCTGGTGAATAACTTGGGTCTTCGCAGGTGTAGGACTCCAAAGACCTTTTCTTCCCTTGTGGAGGGAGGTGTGGAGGACAAATGTGGAAAGAGTAGTCATTTGAATGAGTGTCTCACTTCAGTGAATGAGACTGAAATAATTATTGAAATGAGATCAGTTATTTAAATTAGATCTGATTATTTATTTTGCCTTTTTCCTTGCTGAAAATGAAATAAAACCTGAGTGAGCTTTGGAAGAGTGGTAATGTTTTCTTCTAGAAGGTTATCTTGATTCAGTTATGAAATACTCCAGTAAGGCAGCTAACCAGGAACACCTTATTGCTGATTTTAAGTATATAATTGTAGAGCTCTCTTTTTTGTTTGTAACGTGATCTTACTCTATTGTTTACGCATTGGCAGGCTACCACAAATGCTGCTAAGAATGGTTCATCATTAAGTAAAAACAAAGAAGATGAAGATATAGCTAAAGGTAAATTGCTACTCACAGCCGTGGGTTAGACTTGTGCTCTAGAAATTTTGTTAAAATGCACAGAAATAGGAAACTGTACTCTCTTTGCTGCCTAGAACTGAAAACAAGGGCACAGCAGGTTGGGAGCTAATGTACTGTATCATTCAAAATGGTACGAAGGCGTTTTCCTCGCAGATGAGGATTTGGCGTAAGATACATTCTTCCCCATCACGTAGCCGATAGCATTGTTTGGTGACTGCTGTCTCTCCTGGCCTCTTCGCTTCTGCACCCACGTGTTTTATTCTAGCCTTCATCTGGATGTTTTAAGAAAAATCAGAAGATTGAAATGTTTTATTCTTCCTCTTTCTTGAATATGGTAGCTGTTATTCAGATGTCATAGTGAAGAATTTTATCAGTTTTTCTGACCGTGCTAATGATGCTACTGACATTAGCAGTATGCACGCTGCTTCAGGTGGTGGGCTGTACCATGAAAACCAGAAGGTTTTTTTAAATGTTTCATAACTTGTACATGATTAGGTCCTGTCTTTTAATCCTGTTGCTGTTGAAATGTGAGATATGGATAGTAGTTTGGAGCTAAGATTTTAGACTGAAAATATTAGAGGAGCAGATACTGACCATGTTTATAATATAACAATAAATAATTTTCTGTTTATTTTTACTAGGAAAGCAAACTGTCTTTGTATACAGGGATAAAGTTTACAAACTACTTTTTTTCTTCCCCCTCCCCTCCCCCAATTGTAGCTATTGAATTGTCTTTGCAAGAGCAGAAACAGCAACAAATGGAAACTAAATCCTTGTACCCACCCGCAGAAGTTCAGCAAAACAATCAGAACGCGAGGAAGGTGCGAGCTCTGTATGACTTTGAAGCTGTCGAGGACAATGAGCTCACCTTTAAAAGTGGAGAAATTATTTTTGTTTTGGATGACAGGTACAATATACTCCAGTGAAGGTTTCTTTATTCCTGAGCTGTTGTTTTCTTAGGATAGCAAATTTTTCCTCTGATGCTTTTTTTTCCCCCCACGGAAATGTATATTTGTCACTCTGGCCTCCCTCAGATGCCTGTATCTTCCACTGTTCTTTCCATACCCTGAGTTTTTGACCTCATGTCATTTCTGGTGCAGGGAGAACCTCGCCGCATTACGTTGGGTATTTCATGCTGTGGTGTAGGTCCACTTTGTCATTTTTAAGATAAATGTTAGTTGGTTGCAACATGTGTCATAAGAATATGCATATACAGGACAGTGCTAAATTCCAGTGACATCCAGAAATTGTTAAGTCTCTGGCTATCAAGCATCACATTTGCTAAGAATAAAACTGAAGAAGAAAATACTGAAGATTATTATTGTTATCACCGTTGCCCCAATGATAGCGAAGAAGCAGAACTTCTTCCTTGCTAGTGCTGTTCTAATTTAATAGGCTATGACAGATCAGTTACATTTCTAATGTTAGTCCCCAATTGTGTCCTACTTGTAAACTTTTAGATGGAGCTATAATGGGCTGTCATCTAATCAGTCTAAAAATTGAAGAGTTGTGTTAAATTTTGAGTGATTTCTACCGAATGATGTTACTTCCCCTGATCCCTCCTCTTCTCCCCACTGCCCTGCCCCAGCTCCTCTCTTTGGCTTTGCTACTAGGCTGTGAATCTCTACAAATGTGCTCCTTTGCCTTTGCTGTCAAATACACAGGGAGACGGTGTATTAGATATCACAGGTTTTCTGCCAAAAGCCCAAAGTACGTCGCTGACGCTAAGCGTTAATGTTTGGAGTTTTGTAATGCATCTTTATTTCCCCAGTGATGCCAATTGGTGGAAAGGTGAAAATCATAGAGGAGTAGGACTGTTTCCATCTAATTTTGTGACTTCTGATTTAACTGTGGAACCCGAGACAGGTAAGTTAGCTACTAAAAGCTGACAGATTCTTTTAGAAAGGTGGGCTTATGGTAGAACTACTACTAAGCCCATCAGCAAAATAATCTCATGAAATCAGCCCAAGGAAAGAAATGAGAGAGAAATCCTGCCCTTGTTTCAAGCAAGCAAGCATTATACCCCTGCTGCAGCTCACTTTAATGATTCCTGTGTTCTGATTCTCTTCTAAGTTGTTACCCTTTTCCTGTTGCAGAAATTCAGTTCAGTTTGCCATAATTCTTTGTCAGGAACATATTGCATATGAATCCAGTAACTTGCCATTTAAAATGTCAAAGCCTCTTTTCAGACATCAGACCTAGTATAGAAGAACATTCCTACCCATGTCAGTGGTTTGTAAGAATCACATTGTTAGCTTTATTCATGCTCATGATACCAAAATAAATCTTAACACTTATGACTTGGCTGAAAGTAACTGTACATGTGTTGGAAGTGGTTTTAGATGCTAATATGACTCAAGAGTCTTTCCCTTGCTGGGCCTAGGTTTGTAATTGGGCTAACAGCCCAAAGGAAGCAGCTTGTCAGAACGTTTTCTAGGCAAACCCATTTTCCCTTCTCCGGCAGATAGGTGCATCACTGCTTAAAGTACTTAATCAAATTTCTCTCTCACTTAAAGAACTGGTGGCAAGCAAGGAGGAAATGTGTGTTTTAAGTTAGTGTAGTGACACAGCTGCAGAAAAGAAACTAATATTTGTTCTTTCAGCAACTGTGGATAAAAATTCTGTTCCCGAGGATACTACAGAAGAAATTAAGAAAGCAGAACCTGAGCCAGTTTATATAGATGAGGTATGCAGTCACTTTCAATATAAAAAAAAATACTGAGATTTTGCATTGGCTGAAACATTATTTTTTTACTGAATGTTAGCAAGTAATTCTTATGTAAAGAACTTTTTTTTTTTTTTTAAATTTGAAAATGAAACCAGTCTCTGCCGTGCTTCAGAAATAACTGTTCATAATCTTCTCTTCACCTTTCAGGATAAGATGGATAAAACACTGCAAGTACTTCAGAGTATAGACCCTACGGATTTGAAGCTTGATTCTCCAGATCTTCTAGACTCAGAAGGTACTTTGAGCACCAAGTTAGCTAGTTTTTGTATTTCTTCTCACAATTACCTGTAGTGGATTGAGTTGGTAATTCTTTTGCATTTATTTTAAGCTTAGAGAAACTGTGGTCTGTACTAACAGTGTGCTGTAGAATAGCTTATTTCACAGTGGGAGTGTGGGGCTATAAGTATAACTCTAAATTTTCTGGTAGTTGCCAAGCCAACTCCATGTTAAGCAGAGTAATTTGCATAACTTCCAGCTAGTGTACAATGCCTGATCTTTGCAAGATCCATCCACCTATCAAAACTCCGCTTGAAATAAGCAATTGATTTTTGGTCAAAATTTCTCCAAAATACTGCTGGCTGGGAGCGGAGAGGAAGTTCAGTTCACTGCAGTCGATTGGTTGAAGGTGTGTGATAACGATTGAGCGTACGTTAATAAAGGAGTGTTCCTAGAATGGAAAAAGTGAAGGTAAAGGACGGTCCGCAGTACAGCAGAGCTGGGTAGATTTCTAGGCAGTCCGGATCGGATATTCCAGCGGGAGGTGAAGGTCGTAGGTCTTGCACAGCGCAAGCGGAAGCGCGGGATTTTCCATGTGTTTCATCAGTAGTCTTTGGTTTGAGCGGGTGGAGGGAAGGAGGAGAGAGGAGGACAAAGCAGAACAACCAAAGTGTTTTTCCTGTCTGTTTGGGCTGGAGGAGTGGGACACGGGATAACTAGGTGCACTCTCCAATTTCGTATGCCATTTTAGTGTACTTGGATAAAGTATTTTTTGGCTGCATTTAAATTTTTAATTGTGCAAAACACTAACTACGCTGACACTTTTGTCTTCGCAGATATTTGTCAACAGATGGGTCCAATGATAGATGAAAAACTAGAAGAGATAGATAGGTGAGCCATAACGTCGCTTCTGCGTTATTTACTATGATTTACTTTAAATTGTGCAGTGGTATTAATTTTTTGGGGTACTTTCTCCTTCATCTCCCAAGCTAGAAAATCCTCCAGAAAAGAAATTTTGACAATGCTAGCCTTACCTTTTGACGCTTAGCTACCGAGGTCCCAGTGTGCGTACTTAGATTTGATTGCTGCTCTCCAAAATTTACTGCATCAGTTCCTGGGTGCGTTTTCCATTAGCCCTTTTTGACTGTAACCTTCTGCAATGAGTCTAGAGCTTGGTATTTTCAATCTGCTGCCGGCTGTCCTCCATGACAGGAAATATCTGTTCAGCGCTATCTTCACCTCTTCTCCCTCCGACTCCTGGGATATTTGAGGGTGACAGGGAAAGGTAACTGATGCCTGTGGAGTTGCTGGCCTTACTGCAGCTAGGGGAGAATAGTTGGCCACTGCTCGGACTCTCCAGCCGGTCCCATTGATGTAAGGAACAGAATGGCAATTTTACAATACAGACGTGTGAGAAATTGACCATCTGCCTTTTCAGGGGTGTTTTCCTTGCATATTCAAAACCATTTAATGAGCCACTCTTCTTTTTGTACTATCTAACCCTGGATGTTGGAGAAACTTAGCATTTGCCTATATTTGTTTTGAAACAGAAAACATTCAGAGTTATCAGAGTTGAACGTGAAAGTTCTAGAAGCTCTGGACCTCTATAACAAACTGATGAATGAAACACCGATGTATTCAGCCTACTCAAAGCTCCACCATCCTGCACAATACCCACCTACGTCTTCTGGTGTCTCGGTGCAGGTCAGTATCCGTTTCTGGAAATAGAGACTTTCCTAATATAGATTTCTATTTAAAACGATGACAGCAAAAATGAACTGTACGCTTTCTTGCTAGCCTGTGAACAATCTGACATTGCCTGCTGGCTTTTTATAGCCTTTAGAATAAAGTGTCATTTATGCAGTAGCACGGAGTACTTCGATTTGCTGTTAACCTGCTTGTACAGTAAGGCTGAGCTGTTAATTTTGCTCTGCTTAACAGAAAGATGCTGTATTGAAAATACTGAAGGATTCCTTCCATGATTAATTTTTTACAGTTAGAATTGTGTGTTTCAGCAGCGTGGTGGATATTCTTGCTGTGAGTCATGTCCTCAGTCTTCAAGTGAAGTGTTACCTTCTTATCTAATAGCGGGGACGTGAGTGAACTTTAATATTAGTGCATTAATCATGAGTGCAGTGTACTTTTTCTAAACATAGAAATACTAGTCTGCTTTTAGCTCTTTTTTTCCCTGAAGAAGTGAACATGTTGTATTAGGGGGTGTAGTTGCTCAAAACGGTTTCACAGTGTCCCTGATGTGCCATATTGATGTTTGAAGAAAACAAAAATGGAGGAGAAAGAGAGAATTCAAAGATCCTTTTCGAAGAAAGCGTAGAATGAGTGGTTTTACTTTAAGTGAGTTTAATGTTAATTGTTCAGTGGGAAAAGAATAGTTGCCATAGCAACTGCTAGATCTTAAAATATGTCAGTTAAAAGAAATTCCATGTCCTTAACTCCTGGTAGCGATGGAAAACTCATTATATTTGGAGGTTAAAAAGTAATTGAAGCCAAAAGGCAGCTGGAGTTTACTGTTTCTTCCAAGAAGCATGCTTCCAGCCGTGAAAAATACAAGATAATGCTAGCCCTGCTGAGCTTAGCTCAGTTGCGTGGTACAAAACTGTCTGTTCCTTCAGTGTCTGTGTCCTATCCAAAGTCCAAAACCAGTGAGCAGCGTGGACTTCTGTAGACTAATGTTATATCAGCTGTTTTGTCTGAATTTTGAGTAGACTTGCGTGATCTTAAGCCAAAATGCAGGAAACTAAAGTTTCTGCTCTCCTTTTGTGTTACAGCCTTCGAATATTCTTATGTTTTAAATTCCAAAATGTGTTAAATAACAAATCTCATATGGTGCCCATCTTCCTACTCAACACTGCGCATCAAAATAGGCGAGGATTGAACATTTTAAACAAAAATTAGGGAGAAAGAATTAAGGTTTCTGGGAGGCGGGTAGAGGTCCTGTACGTGGTACAAAAGGTTCTTCTGACAGATACGAAGCACTGACCTTGTTAGCAGTGCCTTTCTCGGAAAGGTGCCTTCTGGTGAAATGAAAGATGCCTGTTTGAAACCTGTTCTGAGAAGTTTTGGGATTTAGAACCTTGTTGGAAAAAGTGATTGATGTTCGTTCAGCTTTTGAGCCCTAACGTATTTGTTCATTGTAGTGGTATTCTGTGCCACATCTGCTGCTAGTTAATTGAAAATAAAAGGTATGCAATAGGTGGTTTTTTTTATTATTTGCAGTCATATCCTGTACAGCCACCTAGTGGAACCTACATGATGCCGGGTGTTCACCAAGTCCCCATTTCCCCCGCTTACAGCCTGGGACCTGAGCAGATCGGGCAGCTGAGGTCTCTGCCTCCGAGTATAAATTCTTCTGGAGCAACTCCGCCAGCTCAAGCTGCGTATTTAAGGTATCGCTTCAACAAACTGTTAAATCCCTTCTTCCTGATGGTAATTTTGCTGCTGTGTCTGGAGATTGTGTGTTCTTGGGATGTTTACGATGACAGTGATAGTGTTTGGTCATTTTGAAAACACACAGATCGCTTTTGGACGAAGCAGTATTCCTGCTTGCAAATCTGCTTAGTGGGTGAATAGACATGAACTTGTGAGAATCGGATTTGTTTTGTTTTCTGCAGCCCAGGACCGGATTCTGTGTTAAACCAGACGTACGTGAACCAGAACGCTGGCCTTTCGTCGGCCGCCAGCGCAGCTGCTTACACCCAGCAGCAGATGGGAATGTCGGTGGATATGTCGGCTTACCAGAGTAATGCATCCAGTTTGCCTCAAGGACCAGCTTATCCCGTGGCAGTTCCTGCTCATTCCGCTCTACAGCAACAAACAAATTACCATCAGCAGCCTCTCCTTTAAAAACAAACCAGCTCGTATTCCTGAATTAATGAACAAAGGTTGCCTGACCTAATGATTCTTATGAATACCTGTCACAGATATCAAGACACAATTTTGCTTTTAAATAACCCAACTTACTGCGTTAGGGTGATGCAGAGTAAAAATACGCATCAGATCTGATTGGTAAGAGTTTGCATAAAGATAGCTTGAGCTAGATTACCTGATGGTTTAAAATAATTTCCGATTACTTGGAGCCCTTACTTCAGAGCTTTCAGGGAACGTCACTTTTCTTAAGTTAAAGGATTGTCCAAAAATAATTTTCTCTTAAATGTGTTTCTGAAAACTTGAGGATGCCTAACTGTTGTTATGTGTTGCTCTCGTTGTGCGTTGCCTCCTCTGGTATCCTACTACAAGCCTTCTGTCCAAGTGGCTGTAGAGAATCGCTTGCTGGCTTGGACACGCTCACCTCTGCGCTGCTGTAGTGAGCTTTGCGATACGATGAACAACGGCACGAGTTCAGCAGACGAGAGCTGGAAGGGAAGTGATTTGATATGGTGACAGTGAGGACCACGTACCTACCGAAATCTGAGAAGTGAGATCTTTACAGCGCTGCCTGTTAGAGTTTCAGGAACTGCCGAGAACTGCTGATGCGTTTCTCTGGAAGAAAACAGGTGGGCTTTTGCTAGAACTCGCTGGTGTGTGTTTGGCAGTGGTGGTACTGCGAGCACGAGTCTCCTTTGCAAGAGCAGGCAAGGGATGCGCCCAGCTGACTGCGTGGGCACTCTGCGGATACGAGGTGCTGAGCCAGAAACCTGTACCGAATCGCTTTGCTTCGCCTTTCTGGGTGTGTTTAGGAGTGAAGGAGTATTGTAGTTCCTTGTGGTAAAGCAGGGGGCTGGAGAATGTTTGAAGCTTCTTAAGACTGTGAGAATCTGCCTTGTTCCCTTTCCAGCGGGGAGCCGAGTGGAACAGGAATCGTCTTGATGGGACCAGGGGGTTCTTGCCTCGCTTGGATTTCCTTTCTCAGCCACCGTTTCCGTCTCCAAATAAATGCCCATTACAGTCAGAGAAACCCTTAAACCATTTGGAAAAGGTGCATTCAGCGCGCTGTCTGCGTAGGCAGGGTACACTCGCTTTGTGAGTGGGCTCGCGCTCCTCGTTTAATACGTGGAGTGGCTGCCTGTCGCAAGTGACAGACACGTCCTTAGAAAAGGAATTGCCTTGGAACTCTGGAAGCGCAGCATTTGGTGGCTAAGAAAAGAAATCCAAGAGTTCCGTCCCGGATGCACTTTTTTAACGGTGAGGTTTGTACAGGAGGAGCAGATGAGCTGAATTATCTTTCAGGAATGTGGGATTTCTTTCTTTTATTTGTTTCAGCCTCTGGGGAAAAAAAAAAAATCACTATTTACCTACTCACTATGCTATAGTCATATTTATACCTATTTTAATAATTTTATGATGAGTAATACTCTTTAAATTGGGAAAATAATGAAAGCAAATGACTGATAAAAGCATCTTGATTAAATGCGTGAAACTCCCAAGTGTCTAAAGAGGTATGTGTGGTGTATAAATCTTCTACCAAATGAGAACTATCAGATTGTAGACTGCTGTTGAGTAATAAAAACCACCCTTCACTCAGCGCCACCTCCGTTCCTTTTACATTTTATTTAATTATTTAGTATCGTGACCTTCTTCATTTGCAGCCCGTGCTAATGCAATAAGGTATTCAGTACCTGCTCTTCAAATGACTTTTTTGTTTTAATTTAAATTTGTGCAATTGAAAGGAAGCTTTTGTCTTTCCTTCTGACTTGACTTCTGTTTGTCTTTATCCTTCCCCATGAAGTAGCTTAGTATAAGTAACACGAGCTGCAATACCTGGAGTATTTTGATAACTTGTTCCTTGCATTCTTTAAGAAGAATAATTAATTTCAGTGCTGCTGTTCAGAATCCTTAGTGTTTGGAGATTTATTTTTTTTTGGTAAGAGTTTACTTTGTTCCAAGGCAGTGTGTAGCCAAACGAAACCGTGCTGTCATTGACATAGATTCTCAGTGTTTGTTACTAAATGGAGATTAAAGCAGGCATTTTTACCGGATTCAAAACTTTGGTCCAGCAGAAATATTGAGTATCTTAAATTGAGATGGCTAGACAGATGTGATTTGACTACGTTCAGTTAGTTATGGAATATAAATAATGTATATACTCATTTCTCTGAGATTTTCTACACAGCTGCACACATGCATACTTGTTAGAGCCTGAAATTTTGTAAGAGCAGGACTTGTCATTCTCTCATCTCTTATATTCCTAGTTCTGTGATATGCAACTTGTAGATAGTGTAAAATAACTTAATTATTATTAAAATAGTGTATTTAGAGGGGTTTGGTGTTAATAGGATCTGTTTTTTCTCTTCATTCTTCTATACATGATCATATTTATTTTTAAGGCCTGATTGTAACTGAACATGCTGCCAAAGGATTTATCTAACTTGGGATTTCTACGTTAGGTTTCTACCTGCTGTTTTGTATCAGGAATCAACGGTAGATAACTTCTGCTTTTTCATATAAACTCGTAATAGTTAACATAGAAACTTGTGCAACTTTATAATGAGAATTTTGTTGTAATATATTTGTTTCACGGGTGTTGAAAATATCAATGCTAGATAAATTTTCTTCTGGTATGAGTTGGCACCCTCTGATGTCTACGTTACGGTCAGCCGAGAGCAGCCGTCGGGCGCGTCCGTGATAGCGCCGTGTTTCGGGCAGTTGTGGTCTGTCATCCAGCCGTGACGTGAGGAATGCATTGTCTGTTTTGTTTGGTACAGAAATTCCAATGTTAAAAAGTCGGATGGTTTCCGTAACAAGTAAACCTTAAAAATAATGTTTTGTGTTCGTTTTCCGTTCGGCTTTGTTCGTGGCTGTCCCCGGGCTTGTGGGACAGCGTGATTCTCTGGAAAGCTTTCCCTGAGAAGGGAGCACTGAGCGGGACGTGGCTGCAGCTGCAATCTCTTACAGGAGTTATTTTCCGATAGGAAGGGGGGTTTTCCTTATTTTCATCTATGCATCTTTTCTAAGAAATAATAGGCACTACTCCTGCTTACGTCGAGCACTGTGATGTATCTGATCCAATGAGTAACTCTGGAGAATTTATGGCTCTTGCCGCCTCAGCTTTGCGTGAAGCCGACTCCAGCTGTTTGGAATCGGTGAGAGGAAGGGAACGCAGCTGGGGTGGCTTGGGGGGCTCGGCTCCGCTCCCTTCACGGCCCCGGGACAGCGAGTGGCCTGGCCTCGGACGGCTGGCACGCCGCAACGCCGCGCTCGCG